TTGGAAACCTTTTTTCTATTTCTTTTTGATTTCTTCTTGCCTGACTGGAACATAGATAAATTAACCCTAAAGTGGATCTTTTTAAACTGTACCTTGGGAATTAATATATTGGGCCAAAGTGAACTTTTTGGAACCACCTCCAGGGACTTGGAATCACAGTTTTGGCCATGCAGAATTGTGGGAACTAGGCCACCAGGATATGGATACAAACACTGAACTGGACTGTGATATTTGGGGCTTTTGAACCTCGGTCCAGGCCTGTTTGGCAAAAGTAGATCTGCCCCGGGAGCTGGAAGTGCTTATGTTTGATTAGCTGGCATAAATCTGTGGGAATTAGGCCATCAGGCCGCGGATACAACCATTGCACTGTACCTTGGCATCTTGGGGGTCTAAATTTTGGTTCAGGCCTATTTAGCCAAAGTGGACTCTTTGAACTGACTCTGGAGACTTGGAATATCTGTTTAGCTGGCATCAATTTGCCAGGGATCAATTAGGACACAGATACAATCATTGAACTGGACTGTGAGTTGGCCTAAGCTCTTGGGCAGCTGGAACAGAATGGCACAACAAGGACAATTTTGGGATGAAACAAAATCTACCCTTCAAACAATACTAGAAATAGTGAGATCCCACTACCAAGAGGCAAAATTATTCAGTGACCATCTGAAGAATTATAGTCAACAAGCGACAGGGAATAATGAAGAAGGAAACGAGAGTGTGCCGGATGATCTATGCCAATCAAAAGAGGAGCTGGAGGAAATTAATGGGGAAAACCTAAGAGAAACGTCAATATTGGATCAGAGGAGATTATTAAGGGAAGTCAAGGGGAGAAAATCAGCAAAGTTAATTAAAAAAAGCCTGGAAGATCTATTGAAGATAGACCAAGTGTATAAAGATCTAGGGGAGATAAATCAGATGCACAAAATGGTTTCAGAGGGCATGAAAGATGACAGAATGCTTAGAGAGACAAACACAAAGTGAAAAAAGAGAAATAAGAGAGGGAATTACATAGAAAAATGGAAAATACAAAGTGGGCCCTTAAGGTTGAAAAACATGTATATATTTAACTTTGGGAATTATAAAGGGGCGTATCCTTTATATTAAAAAGGAGAATTAAATTTCCAAGCCTCAGAAGGGTCCTGGAAGGTTGCGATTTCACTCCCACTGGCCCCGCGGTGGGTGGGTGGGGAGCCTCCGAAGGGTCCTGGAAGGCACTCTTGGACCCTTCTGAGGCTCCCCCCACCATCCCCCCGCTGGGCCCTGGTGAGTGCTGTTTTACAGTATTCGCTGCATAAGACACACTTCCCCCCCCCCACTTTCTTGGGGGGGAAGTACACCTTATAGAGCGAAAAATAAGGTAACTCAAAAGTCCATTTAGACTCAAAAGTCCTTTCTGCCTTCATCTCTGATCTTTTTTTAAGCACCAAAATTGTTTTAACACATTCTCTCCAAAAATGAAGTGGTTTGAAGTTGCTGTATGAATGGAGTCAGGAGTTAGAAGTAATTATTGCTTGAGTATTAAAAATATAAAAATGTTTAGTAATGCTATGCAACACTATTTTGTTAGCTTCGAACATTATACTGTAGATAGAGGTGAAATAGCCTCCGAGCCTTATGGCAAATTTGGATAATCAACTATTGCTTGTTATTTTCACAGTTCCCACAAGTGTACAGTATTCTTACTCAGAAATTATAAACAGATGATGAAAGAAGATGAGTCAGAATGAGTCTTAGATATTGATTTACTTGTAATAAAGTTGAGGGCAGAACTTGGGACTCAAGAGTGCCTCTTCTGCCTAAAACATGACTATCATCTAAAAATGTTTTTTGTAAATGGGATTCTGACAAATCATCACCAGTTTAGGTCATGGTTATGAAACTGAGAACAAAGTAAACTCATTTCCATTTAGTCAAAAAGACAAATAGCATACCGTATTTTTCGCTCAATAAGAAGCACCTCTCCATAAGACGCACCAAATTTTTAGGAGAAGAAAATAGGAAAAAATAATCTGTTTTCCTCTCCTAAAAATTGGTGAGCCTTATGGAGAGGTCCATCTTATGGAACACA